TCTTTCCCTGGCAGACGACTACGGAACTTACGAGGAGATGGAGGAGCCTCCCGGAGAGCACCTGTTCCCTGACCCCTCCTTGGACCACGACCCCCTCTGCGAAGGACCACCAGGGCTGCAGAAGCCGCCGGGCAGCATCCCCGACTTCATGCCTTCCGCCCAAAGGGCCCTGTACCTGAGGATCCAGCACAAACAGCAGGAGGAGGAGGAGAGGGTGCGGCGGCTGGCCGAGAGCAGTAAGGAGCGGGAGAATGAGGAAGGCAAGTGGCAAGGCGCAGGGTCCTTCCTGCACAGCAGTGCCATTGGGAATGCCCCCGGCCAGCCAGAGCCAGGACCCACGTGGCTGAGGAGGTGGCCTGCTCCATCTCGGGGCCTGCTGGCATGACTTCTGGGCAGGTGGGGTGGGCAGCACCTTCCCCTCTGCTGGGGCAGCATGCGTCGGCCTCATCCTGCAGGTCTCCCAGGGGCAGGGAGAGGGGTGCGCCACCCCAGGTCGCGCTGCCCTCTGCAATGGCTGGGCATGCTGTGGGCTGTCATCCTCCTGGGTCCCCAGGCTGGAGGTTGGTCTCCTGTGGCAGCCCCCAGAGCTCTGCCTTCCTGCAGCGCAGGGTTAGCAATCTCTGTAAAACCAAGTGCAGTGCCAGAGCTGGCCCTGGGGAGGCAGGGAGAGACCACAGGCTGGGGATCCTGGTAGCAGATCAGTGTGTCCGCTTGTGGTGGTGGGAGTACGCATGCATCCAGAATCCTTCCAGCAGCTGCTGGTTTCTGGAGGAGTTGGGGAACAGGAGACCTTGCTGGGCAGCTCTGGGCACGTGCTGCTCCTTACCGAACGCATTCTCTGCTCCCCCTCCCCAGGTGACACAGGCAATTGGTACTCCAGCGATGAGGACGATGGTGGGAGCAGCGTCACTTCCATTTTGAAAACCCTGAGGCAGCAGAGCTCCAGCCGGCCTCACGTCCCGCCTGTCCACGGCGACATGAGCAGTGGCTTGGGCCCGTGAGGTATGGGTGACCCTCGCCTCCAGAAGGCCCAGTCGGCTGCGGGTGGGCGCCCAGCTGACCCTCGCCTGCGGGACCCCCGGCTCTCTCGAAACGTGGAGGCATCCGGACCAGCCGGCCCCGGAGAGGTGGGGCCCACCGACCCGCGACTAGCACGGCACGTTCCCACGTCTGCCCCAAAGCCGGACACCCCTCATTCCAGCGCTGTGGCCGGCCCAAAGGTTGCCTTGGGCCCTGATGAGGAGGAAGGGGAGAGAGCACTAAGGGACAAGCCAGTCAGCATCCCCTTGGATGTGCTGCCCGGCCACGTGCTACGGGACCCCCGCTCACAGCTGCAGCAGTTCAGCCACATCAAGAAGGATGTGGTCCTGAACAAGCCCAACTTTACCCGGCTGGTGCTGTGGAGCCCAGAGGACCTGATCCCACTGCCCATCCCGAAGCAGGAGTTCGTCCCCGTTCCCGCCGCTCTCCAGTCACTCCCTGCCCTCGACCCGCGGATCAGCCGGCCCCAAGCCACGGGCCCATCTGACCCCAGGCAGCGGGGGGCAGGCACCCAGGCAGAGTCTGGCTCTGGTTCTGGCACCAACGTCCCTGACTTCGAGCTGTTGTCGCGAATACTAAAGACTGTGAATGCGGCTGGCAGCCCCACCTCTGGTCAGAGCGAGAAGCCCAGCGACCCCCGGATGCGGAAGACGTCGGCTGACCCCCGGTTACAGAAATCAGCAGAACCAGTGGCCTCCAGACCTGCCAAGGCTGCAGAGTCTCCTCCAGGCCCTGGAGCCACAGCTCCCAGCAGCGAGAGCACCCCCACCATCGCTCCCTACGACCCCCGGCTGCTGACCGCGGGCGGGCTGAGCAAAGGCAGTGGCCAGAGCAATGTGCTCAGTGGCATCAGCCTGTACGACCCCAGGACTCCAAGCTCGGGCAGCAAGGCCTCAGAGGCTGCCGGCGAGGGGAACGCGTCGTCAAAAGGCTCGGACGCCGGCAAAGGTGCCGGCAAGGGCAAGGAGCCCCTGTTTGTGCGCAGGTCTGCGCTGGACCAGCCCGAGGCGGAGAAGGCGGGTGCTGAGTCTGCCGCAGACAGGTACAACAGCTATAACAGGCCACGTCCCAAGGCCTCTGCCACCGCTGCCACCACCGCCACCGCCGCCTCCTCCACCCCTGCCCCAGAGACTGCCCCCCAGCCAGGCGTCCACAACCTCCCCGTGCCCTCTGTCTACGGCATGGTCAAGCAGAGCGCGAAGTCAGGGTCCGGCAGCCCCTTCGCGGGGAATAGCCCTGCCCAGGACAGCGAGCAGCAGGACGCCGGGTCTCTGAAAGATGTTTTCAAGGGCTTCGACCCCACAGCCTCGCCATTCTGCCAGTAGTGTTCACGGACTGCCCTGGCATCCGCCTTGCGATAGCTGCGCAGTGTTGGGAACCTTTTTTTTTTATTCTTTTCCATTAGTGCTCACTTTAGCCATATAACATGTACAGAAATCCTTTTGGTTCTGGTCGGTGCTGTGACATATATATAGCCTCCGAGAATAATTTTAAACAAATAATCAAAGTATCTCATGCCGTAATAACCAGCCTTTTGTTTTTCGACTCCCCGCTAGTTTGTTTTAGAGCTTTCTTTGCAAACGCGACTGAACGCCCCCTCCTTGGAAAATAATGCAATGTCTGAAATCTCTCGGGGAAGCTGCGGCCATCCCGGCTCACCAGCCCCCATCCTCTCCTTGTACAGTAGATTGCGTCCCAAGCCCGACGCATCCCCCCTCGAGCAACGCGATGCCGTACTCAGGACAAGGGGAGCGGCAGACCGGACGGCAGAGTAACGTGGGTCATACGTGTAGCTTAAGAGATTAAAGCTGTGAGCCGTGCGGATTGGTGGAATGTGTTCATTTATGAAACAGCTAATGCGAATATTTGTATCATAGCCTTTTTTTTAATTATGTTTAAGGAGCCGAATGCGATGAGCAGTATTGCCTGGAGAAATAACCCCGTGGCATCGTGCTTGTCCGGTGGGGGAGGTTCTTTCTGCTTCTCTTTGAAGGCGGTATCTCTGCTGTTTCCTGGAGGCGGGTGGGTTGGGAGACAGCCCAGCTGGCCCCTCTTCGGGCTTCGAGTCCCGAGAGTTTCCACCGACGGCCAGGGAATATTGACCTCCCCGAAGTGCTGCTGTCTACCAGCAAGAGAGGGTGTATTACTGACATTAAATTATTCATCTCAGCCCGACTTTGCACGCACGTGGGTTGCTCACGGAGGGTTTTCCCATGAGCACGGCAAGGATTCTCAGTATCTTCTCCCTGCCCTCTGCGAGCGGCTCGGTCCCCCTCCCACCCCCCATCCCAGATCCAGCGGGCGAAGGCTGCGTTCTGTATGATGCCGGAGCTCCAGTGCCGTGCCACCGAGCAAGACTCCTCCACAGCAGCTGGTGATAGATGCTGAATCCTTTCTTTCGATGCATTCTGTGCACCGACTGGGCTTTCTACGCGGGCACCCGACGGCAAGGCCACTTCAGCCGGTTGTCGGGGCTTTCGGGACAGGAGCTGTCGATCGGAGACGGGACCAGGGCAAGCACGTGCGTCACTGGAGCTGCGACACACTGGGCCAGGAGCCCCCGCAGTCCCCTTCTGACAGGCGAGAAGCCCCCATCTCGTGTTTTCCTGAGCGCGCCTCCACCCGGCATTGTCTCCAGCTTGCCTTAGCAAGGCTGCCACTTCCAAGAGCCAAAACTGCCCTCCCGGGCCCCATTTGTTACCGTGCAGCCGAAAGGACGAAAGTTCCCGTGTCTTCAGTAGCAAATGGGGAATCGTTGTTGTTTCCCCTTCGGACTTCCTTTCCCTGCCCAGGGTGCCCTGCTGCCCCGCTCGGGTCACGCCAGCCCCCGTCCGGCCTCACCTACCAGTATTCAGCTGCCAGCTCGTGAGCATCGGAGCATAAAGACACGATGCGAAGTGTCCTGTACTGAGCAGAGCCGATGCGCCGCACCCTTCTCATCACGTCACGGCCAGCAGCTGTGCCCAGTGTTCATGGCTGATGCAGCATCGCCTTCCTGGCCAGCGAAGGAGATCTGATTGAGCAGTCGAAACGCAGTATTAGGAAGAAGGTGGCCATGCTCCTGCAGCAGGGCAGTGCCTATGACGCGGTGTGTTGAATCCCAGGAGCGGTGTGAGCTCTGCAGCGGCACAATGTGCGACGCAGGCCCCCCTGCCCATCAGCTCTTAAACCATCCCCCGTGGTGATGTCTGTCAGGCTCCTGCAGCCTGACTTGGTTCCTCTGCAGCGGATCCCAGGGACTGGTTGTTTTACGCGGGGGCTGGCGGAGAGCCCTGAGCGCCCGTCTCCCTCCAGCTGGAGAACCCAGCCCTGCCCTTGTGTCGCAGCAGCTCCTCACCTGCCGAGCAGCTGCACGATAACGAAAGAGGAAGGATCTTTCTCAGTATTTCAGCCACTGGCATATTTTATCTGGTCTAGGATGAACTTTCCAAATGTGGAATGGCTCCCGGGGCGCCCCCCACCCCCTCGGCTTTGCTGGACAAGGTCTTAAGAGAATTAGTGTTTGCTGAGCGTTGGTGCACGTAAGACGAGCCTTCACGATGCCAAAATTGAATGGTTTCCAATGTCAACAGAAAAAGAAAACCCGCCTGGACTCCGAAGTTCCCGTCTACGCCCCTTTCTTGCAGGCGGCGCCGATTTGAGTTGTCACGGTCCCTTGTCGCACTGCTCCTGTCACGTTCCCACGCGCCCTGCTTTCGCGGGAGGCATAGCTGTGTCCGACTCACTCAACGCGCCCCTACCAAACTGGATCCCAGAGAAATCGGAGGCTGCTGGGCCGGGCTGGGCCGTTCAGTACGTGCAAGTCCTTCGGGGTTTACCTCCCGGGGAAATCTCGGCTCTTCTCTGCCCCGCGAGCAGTTTGCTGGCTTGTAAGTGAATCGAGCGTGGTGGCGACGGCGGGTTGAGTGTCCTGAAGTGGTTTCCCTCGTGCAACCTCAGAGCTCATCGCTTTGGAGTTTGCCTGGCACCAGTGTGACACGGGGAGAGAGCAATGAATCGGTTCGACCGGGGAGACCGCTCTCGGCGAGGGCTGCGTGCAGGATCAGCTGAACTTTCTGTAAAAGGTAAAACCCGTCAGGAAGATGATGAATTATTTGGGTTGATTCCCCAGAGAGCGAAAGCGCCGCCGTTCTCTAACCCAGGAATGTTTTTCCACCGGCCAGAGCTTTAAGAGAAAAAAAAAAAAATAGCGCTCTAGCTGAGATTGTAATAAACTGTAAATACTGCTTCCGAGTCGGAGCTGTTGCTGCGGATATGTATATAGCGTATGGGTATTTTTACAATGACTGTTCCATGTGCATGGCTGCGTGAGGGTTTTCTCTTTGTTTTTGTACCGCACATTTGTCTTCCAGAAACGTCATCTGTGTTTCTCCGGTGAAGTCTTTAATCTTCTATCATTGTATCACTGCCATTAAAGGATGCAGTTATTTTAAAGGTCTCTGGTCCCTCTGGCTGGGCCGGCGGGTTCGCGCCACGCGTCTGTCCTGGGCTGCGGCCCCGTGCGGAGCAGCTGGGACCCTGCTTTCCCGTTTCCTATAATGCGTCGTCCCTTCTCTTACAGCGACGCGGAGGGGAAGAGACTGCAGAGCTATCTCCGTCCAGCCCTGGCCTGGGGGTTCCCTGGGGCTCCAGCTCCCGGAGTCCTGCCATGGGCTGCGGCTCTTGGCTGATCCCCTGTCCCGGACCATGCTGCTGAGGGCACAGCAGGAGAAGGGGCCGTGCCGGACGGTCCCCTTCCACCCCTTAGATTTCCTGGGTCCAAACCCTGTGATTTTGGCCTGGGGGGAGAAGAGTCAGGATTCTCCCCCACCTCCATCCCAGCTGATGTCGGGGAAGGCTTTCTCCCAGCATGGCACAGCTGGGCCTGTGCTCTGAGCTCCCCTGAGAGTATGCACACATGCCTGTGCCCTGAGCTTCCTGTGTAGGTGCGCACGCACGTGTCCCCGTCCCGAGCCCCCTGTGCCTGTGTGCGCACGTGTGTCTGTGCCCCCAGCCCCACGTGCACACGTGTCCGTGCCCCCAGCCCCTACGACCACCTGCAGCTCCTGGGTGTGGCCAGCAGAGGGTGCTGCTGCCCAGGGAATCCTGCATGGCCCCATGTGCCTGCTGCATGGGGGTGAGGGGGGGCAGGGTCAGAGCAGGGGCCCGTGGAGCCTGGGCTGTATCTGGAGAGCGGGGTCTAGTGGTCAGAGCAGGGGCGCGTGGAGCCGGGACACCTGGGTTGTATCTGGGGAGGGGTCTAGTGGTGGTAGCAGCCGGGGGGGGGGGGGGGGGGGGGGGGGCCGTGCCGCGGGAATGGGCTCAGGGGCCTGCTCCCCTCTCGGCCCATAGCAGACGTTCAGCGCAGAGCCGCGCTGGCACGAGTCTGCCAGGTCTCGGGGCCGGGTCGGGCCGTCCCCGGCTCCGGGCGGTGCATCAGGGCTAGCAGGTTGCGTTGCAGGGGCGCAGCTGGGGGGTCTCTGGAAAGGGAATGAGGTCTGGCGAGCTACAGCAAGGGCCAGGGGGGGAGGGCAGGGGCTGGCGCCCCCAGCACCTGGGTCCTCTAGAGTGGGACCTGGGGGGTGAGACAAAAGGGGGCTGGAGAGGCACCTGGCTGGGGTCAGCTGGCCCCAGCGCTCGTTCCTGCCCAGGCAGGGGGGCGGACTGACGATCTGTTGAGGTCTCTTCCGACCCCCAGCATCGATGAACCTATGAAAGGCGGCTGGGGGCCCAGACCCTAGGTTCTCCGGGGGCGAGAGCAAGGGGGCCTGGGAGGTGCGCGGCCGAGCCCTCCCTGCGCCCTGGGCCAGGAGCAGGGGGGAGGGGAGCTTCCGGGCCAGCTGTTCCCAACATCTGGATGCCCCCAGGCACAGGCTGGCGGCCTGGTGCTGCTGTGGCCTGGTCTCCAGCTCCCTCCTCCCCTGTGTGATCCCCCCCCGGTGCCCACAAAGCAGCGACTGTGCGGCTCACCCGCCTGCCCCCGGCGCTGCCTGGCACCGGGGCACAAAGGGCCCTTGGAGCGCGGCCCGTCCGCATGCGCAGTGCCCCAGCAGAGCCCCTGGCCAGAGCCCAGGGCGATTACTGCCCTGCCCTGCCTGGGGTGCGGGACCGGACGGTGCTGCCCCCGCTAAACATGCTGGTTCCGGTATTTACAGGCCGGATAAACACGGGAGGGAGCGCAGCTGCGTCGGGGCCCCAGCAGCAGCCTGGCGAGGCCTGGAGCCGCCCCAGCCAGGGGAGCACAGGGCTCTGCCCCGCTCCAAGCACCCAGGCCCGGGCTGGGACTGTGCTCCCACCGCCGCGGGAGCGGGCAGAGCAAGGCTCATGCCTAAATATGGAGTGGGATGCAGCTCCACGGATCCCGGCACGTGGCTCTGCCGCTGCCCAGGCCCCGTGGCCAGGGTGGGGGGCCGGAAGGCCTGCACGGGGGCAGATAACAGCTCAGGTTCCTGCCCACGTCGGGGCCCCGGCGCAAGCAGCAGACGGGGCCAGAGGGCTGCAACCCGGAGGCTTTATTCCAGGTCCGGGTCCGGGATGTGCACGGGGCCATGCACGCATGTGGCGTTCGGCGGGCAGACGGGCCCCCTTCGTTCCTTGCCGGGGCCAAATCTGGGGAGCGGAGGCTGTAGCAGGGCAGGTCGGGGTCACACGTGGTCCTGCAGCTCCCGCTCGTCCAGGCTGGGCTGCTGCAGCGCCTGCTGCTTCTGGAGCCCCCGCAGCTTGAGGAGCAGCTCCCGCACAAAGCCCTGCGGGCGAGACAGGCTGCCAGGGCCGGGTACGGGCACGGGCACGGACACCCCTCCCCACCTGTTCCCAGCAGCTCCGGGCCCCCGGGGGAGCCCTGCCAGGCTCCCAGCCCCTCACTGATAAGGACTGAGCTCTGGGGAGATAAGTCGCCTTCGCAGCTGTGGCAGATTCCAGATGAGCTCACATCTGGCAGCGCTGGGTTAGGGCGGTCCTGCCCTTGCTGCTGGGTCCCATGCTGCCCCAAACCCCCCTGGCCTGGGAAACGCGGGGCCAGTGGCAACCCGTGCCCCTCGCCAGGGCATCAGGGCAGGCCACGATCGGTCTCGGGATCGAGGCCCAGGGGAGGCAGGAGTCTGCTGTGCCCAGAGGGCCAAGGGCCAGGCGCTGCAGGATGCCAGCTCCCGCCAGGGAGGGTGGGGATGAGCTGGAAGCGGGGCCGCCCGACAGCCTGGGATGAATGCTTTTGCCTTTTAAAGCCTTCTCGGCTGCGGGTCCCCAGGGAATCGCCGCGCCCGACCCCAGACCAGCTGGCGGCTAAGACCTTGCTGTTGCCCCGGCAAAGGGACCGCCCCGGAGGAGCCAGGACCCCCGCCCAGCCCCCAGGGCAGGAGGCCCAGCCCTGGCCGGGCCAGGCTCCCGCCCCCCCCTGCCACGGCCGGGGTGCAGGGGGGTGTTGTGCCGCGTCCCCCCGAAGCAGCACCCGCGCCCAGGTGGCGCAGCCCGGGCCCACTCACCTCCGTGCTGTTCCCGCACGACCGCAGGATGCCCTGGAAAGAGACGCAAGCGTGAGCGCGGCGCCCGCCCGGCCCCGGGGCCCCGGGCACCGGCCCAGCCGCCCGCGCCCCGGGGAGCCCACCTGCAGCTTCCTGGCCCGCTCCTCCTCCGTGTCCAGCTCCAGGAGCTCGTCGATGTTCCC